CCCCAAAACCCCAAAACCCCAAGTAAGAATTCATAGATAATCTGTAACATATAGTGTGAAATAAAATATTTAAAAAGCGGTTTAATTCTAAGAATTATTCTACTTAAAATCATTAAAATTTTCTTACAAAGTATTTTAATACTAATCCAGTCAAAATTCTAAATGCTATTCCCAGAGTGAATAAACTCAAAAGACAACTAGTAAAACCAATATCATAACTAAGAAAATCAATAATTTTAATGTCTGTATCTTTGTAATCTCGACTCTCAAATTCATTTATTACAAAAGCCTCTAACGAATATCTCACTGGGGAAATGTATTAAATCCATCCAATCCACTTAGGATAAGAACTAGCATTAGAAAAATAACCACTAAACAGTATGAATGGCATAAGGATAACTGGAGCTACTGTAACTGCCGTTTCCTCACTTTCAAACAAACTAGATATAAATAATCCGAATGAACTGGAACTTAGTGAAAGAAGAACTAATACTAGATAGTGATACCAGAATTATTTGACAGTTACTGTCAATCCTACTCCAAAGTAAACTATAAGTGACCATATCATTGGCTGAAATATAAGCACTGGGATTTCCACAATAGTCTTTGCAATATAATAAGGAAATACTCCATACATTTTATTGGCAGATTCTCTTAAAAATACGGGTCTCTCTCCTTAAAATGCAAGAATATTGCTTAGAGTATGTGTAAAAACTTAACTTATGCAACTGAAAAATAGATATCCAGAAAGGTCTCTTTATTTTGTAAACTCATTTCCTGATAAACCCCAAAACAATGGTAAGGTTAGGAAACTTAGAAATATTGTTTAGGTAAATTTGAAAATGAATGAATGCGGATCCTTTTACATTTGTAGAATACTCCTGTTCAATAATTCATTAAACTATGTCATGCTATTAGCGTAGTTAAGATTTTACAAGGTATTGTCAATATCCTAACTAATTTCTTACTATGAATTTAAATCATGATCTATTACATCTGGGATTACTTCTTTGTATTTAAGCACAAGATATGATATCTTTTTTTCATCGTTAACTCTTTTTGGGTAGTCAATTGAAGTGGTATTAATTATAAAATCAGCTGGGTTAGAATAGCGAGGGCAATTAAATCCAATTTTACTGAAATATTAAGAAACTTCACTAGCTTTACCTTAAAATACTACAAAGCCATCGCACATTAAAAATAAACGGTCAAAGTTAGAAAAAGCTTAAGATCCTGGCTAATGAATGGTTGCTATCACTATTTTACCCTTTCAAGCCTAATTCTTAAGCAGTTTAACTATCTACAGAGCTTTAAAGCTATCTAGACCAGATGTAGGTTCATCTAATAGTAATAATTTTGGATCAGTTATCAATTCTATACCAATAGACACTCTCTTTTTTTCTCCTCCAGACAATATCTTCCTTTTTGAGCTACCTATCATTGAGTCAGCACATTGTTTTAAGCCTAACTCTAATATTAAAGACTCAACTCTTAAATCTTAGTCATCTTCTGAGAGATTGTTCAATTTTAATCTTGCAGCAAAAGTCAAAGCTTAACGAGGGGTAAAATGTGGAAATAAAATATCATCTTGCATTACATATGCTCCAATATTCCCAAATGTCCTTTGATTCAAATTTGTACACCCGTTTATAAGGACTTTACCGCTTAGTTTGGATGTAGATTTTAAGGAAACTCTATCACTCAGAATATTAAGTAGTGTAGTTTTACCAGCGCCAGAAGATCCCATAATAAACAAAGTTTCTCCTGGAATAGCATTTCCTGTAACACCTTTGAGAATTTCTTGTTTGTAAAATGATGCAAATTTTTCTTTTTCGCTTTAATGCTTTGATCAATGATTTTTTACGGTAACTTCATACCTTAAGTTCTCAAATGATAGTTTGCTTAGTTAATTCCTTGTAATCAATTAATTTTCAGTATTATTTTGAGTCTCCAAATCTGTAACACTTGGACTAGAATATTCTTGTATCATTTAGAATTAAATTTAATAATGTTTCTTCCTATTAAATTTGAAATTGAAATCTGTTATAATTGCTAATTGATATCGAAATCAGAAAATATTAAAAAGTTTATACTCTTGGGGTTTTGGGGTTTTGGGG